TTCTTACAACAGTAAGTAGTTTTGTCCATACTCACATTTTCTTACAACAATAAACAGTTTTGTCCATACTCACATTTTCTTACAACAATAAACAGTTTTGTCCATACTCACATTTTCTTACAACAATAAATAGTTTGGTCCAGTCATACTTACTCTTATAACAAGAAATAGTCCTGCCTACGACACTAAGCAGGTCGATAAATGAGAGAACAGTGTTTCTGTAGATTATCTGGCGTTTTACGTGCACTGATAGCAAGGAAGATAATACAATAAGAAAAATCACTTATGGATAGTTTGTTTTGAATATTCTTGCAAAGCTACACGATGACCATCTTCGCTAGACGGCCCTAATTTTAAACTGATAGATTAAAGGGAAGGCAGCTAATCTGATGGAATAACGGAATTTAACCGTCATCATTGTAACCCATATCCCCAAAGTGCAGAGTGCGATTTTACGAACCATGCATCCTTAGATTCACAACTTGGTACGCCCGATCCCACCTAAACAGAATTTGCACATTTTCAAGACATACTGACCCAACCTCAATGTATTTAACCTTATTCTACTTTTGACAACTAATCCGTTTGTTTTCCTTGGCAGCCTTTTACCCTGATCCTGAATTGAATTCCTCCACGAAGGCGTAAAAAACTCCAAAACGATATCAGTTGGATCCTAGCAGGAAATGAAAACCAGAACAATCGTTACTTTAGCTCTGATCCTGTGTCTTCTTCTTGTCGCAGAATCTATCAGGTTCAGAGGATGGCGCAGGAGGGGCGGGAGACGACGACACCCCCTAACTCCTAAATTTATGTTTTACACCCACCCTGGCCGTAAAGATTATTATGATAATCCGAATGTAAGTTCGAAATGATAGCATTGTAAACATACCTACGTGTAAAAAAAAAAGGTGTAACGTATATATATATATATATATATTCGGGATAATAATTGTTCCAGAACAGGGTGTTAATTCTAATTTAAATCTTGAAAGAAAAACCATTGGATATAACAAACATTTGATGATAAATCTCGCAGAGTGATATTTGAAATCAGGTATAGAAAGTTCATGAATCCAGTTTAATAAATATACAACATGCATCAAAACAAAATTCTGAAAATCTGAACAAAAACTTTCAAACAAATGTTGTGACGAATCTAATATGTTAAAAAAAAAGGGTAACTTGACTGAAAATCAACTGTGGGCTGTGTTGTTGAGCAATTACAGTTAAGAATAATTATTATTATTTAACGTACAATTACGTTGACTCACATTAAAAAAATAGCGAGCTTTCCAACAAAAGCTTATACTCAAATTATCAGATAATTCTAACCCTAAAGTACCAATAAAATCCATGGAATTCATCGGCTTTTTAAACACGAAGTTTTTAAATCTATTTACGTGTCTAATTGCATCTAGATCCGCGATTTTGTTTAATTTCGGAAATACTACGAGTTACTGTCATTATGTTCATCTCAACATATTCTAAGATACTAACGTAACCTTAGTGTAAATATATTCTGTAACGTTGAAGCTGAAGATTATAATGTGATTATACTAATATTAGTTTCTAAATAAAGGGTATTTAACGCTAATATTAAAATATTTTGTGACATTAAAATGAAGACTGTAATGTGATTATACCAATATTAGTTTCTAAATAAAGGGTATTTAACGCTAATATTAAAATATTTTGTGACATTAAGATGAAGACTGTAATGTGATTATACCAATATTAGTTTCTAAATAAAGGGTATTTAACGCTAATATTAAAATATTTTGTGACATTAAGATGAAGACTGTAATGTGATTATACCAATATTAGTTTCTAAATAAAGGGTATTTAACGCTAATATTAAAATATTTTGTGACATTAAGATGAAGATTGGTATAATCACATTACAGTCTTCATCTTAATGTCACAAAATATTTTAATATTAGCGTTAAATACCCTTTATTTAGAAACTAATATTGGTATAATCACATTATATTATTTTTAGAAGGATTTCAACTGTCGATGAATTAGAATTCAACATTTGTTTAAGTTTTTCGATGACAAAGAGACTTGTAGTTGTTAGATTTTGTTCATTGCTTGAACTACATATTATTTCTAAATTATTTTCATCTGTAGTCCTGTCACATTCCTGGGCTATCGCTTTGCAGAACTACCAGCATGATGATCGTTTATAAGCTTCTAAACGACTCCTGGTTGACCCTGCATAATTTTGTCCACTTCGACCATCGATAAACGAAGTAAGAATATTGAAGTTTATTAATTATATTCTTTATCTTCAAAAAATTCTCTAATCTCACCCTAATTTTAAAGATACACACATTGAAATTTGTCGCCCATTTATGGGTAAAGAGTAAAGACAGTTACGTTTTGAGAAATGTAATGAAAAATGTGTTGAAATCAACACTATCCATAAATTTCAGTGTGGGTGTGTGTGTGAGTGTGTAGCTTTAAAACCAGTTTCGAGGATAGAGAACGTTTTTAAGATAAAGGACTGAATTAATAATTTTCAACGTTCTTACGTTGTTTATCGATATGTTTGCTCTCTGTGGTATCTCGTGGTTAACCAGCAGTACAGGGAAGTTAAACCTGCTAGTAACTGAAGAGTTTCGGACCTCGAACTTGGATGTATATTTCCATCAGAGTTAAAATCACATAGAACAAGACAACACAGAAGTTCACACAAATAACAGATATTTAATAGCACTTTCGCATTTTACAATAGAACAAATAATATACTACATCATAATACAATACACAAGAGCAATATTAACAATAGGACAAGTGATCTTGTGAGTATTTGGAGACTGAAAAGACCTGATAAAGAATTTAAAAAAAACAAAGGATGTCTTGTAAGCACGTGCTGGTCCACCTTGCAAGTTAAACTGAATGAAATGAAAAAGGGTTTAAGAAAACACTAATTTAAAAGAACCTAAACATAAGTTAAACATCACAACTCTAATCAATACTTTAGTAAACTTTTTGTGAAATCGAAGATCCTACGTCTAAGTAAATTTCACCATCAATACTCCAAACGCTAACACTAAATAATGGAGCAAACGCTAAATAAGTCACATTTATCGTGTACTGACGCTAACCTTGCTCGTAAAAACAAAACACAACCCACACTTGGTAGTCGCAAGGTTTCTTCATTTAAAATAAAAGAAATATGGCAGAAACTAGAGGTCTCTGCCGAATACTTACAGGGTTAAAAGGGAATTACTCACACAACTGCAACGTAGTGAAACTAATGAAAAATATATAAACCTTCAAGTTTCTGGTACACAAAAATATTGATTGGTTATCGATAGATTAGTTAACCAACGGGAAGTGCAGATCAAGGGTAAGTTCACTAGTAACTATTATCTGATTCACCGACAAGAATAACTGAGCTCACTAATCAAATACATCATTGTTATTCCTATCAGAGGCCTTTACTCAGAGCTGCTGCTGCTTACCTCGGAGACAAAGCTAAAGCTAGTAACACACTTCAGGATCCTTTGTGTCCGACAGGAGAACTAAGAAAAACAACATAATTTTGAAAATTTTACTTTTTTTTTAAACTAAATAGATAGAAAGCATATAGTAAGTCCCCGTACTACAACTTGATGTAAGCGAGACTATGTATGATCAAACACGCCTCGTTTAGACCTTAGAGCAACGTTTAAATGAGCATCTGAAGCTTTGTGCTGTAGTTCTTCAAGCGTCTAGCCCAGTTCCAACAACGAGCAAGTCAAAGAAACTCTTACACCGACATTAATTTCTAATGAGTATTATGTAATATTAATCATACTGCTTGTGATTACACCAATGTTAATCTCCAAAGGGTACTGTAATTACATCAGCGTTATTCTCTAAAGCATGTTGTGATAACATTAACGTTAGTTAACTTTAAAGGATAGTATGATTAAGCTAATGTTAATCTCTAAAGAGTTCTGTGATTACACCAATGTTAGTTTCTCAAGGTTTTGAAGGGTACTGTGATTATACCACTGTTAGTGTCTTATGGGTACTGTGATTATATATACCAATGTTAGTATCTTAAGGTTTTTAAGAGTACTGTAATTACACCAGTGTTAGTATCTTAAGGGTACTGTAATTACACCAGTGTTAGTATCTTAATGGTACTGTAATTACACCAGTGTTAGTATCTTAATGGTACTGTAATTACACCAGTGTTAGTATATTAATGGTACTGTAATTACACCAGTGTTAGTATATTAAGGGTACTGTAATTACACCAGTGTTAGTATCTTAAGGGTACTGTGATTACACCAGTGTTAGTATCTTAAGGGTACTGTAATTACACCAGTGTTAGTATATTAATGGTACTGTAATTACACCGGTGTTAGTATATTAATGGTACTGTAATTACACCAGTGTTAGTATATTAAGGGTACTGTGATTACACCAGTG